AACTGGCCTCAAGGCTGGCAGCGTGGGGATCTGGTTGATTGGGTCAATTGTCTCATTAGCGTAATGGTGGCTCGTGAAGCACGTATTTGTTAGGCATTCTCTGCCGGGACGACTTGATGCTTCATCTGACTGCTGTTTTTGGCTGCTGATTATTATTACACTCATGAGTACGTAATTATGCCTTAGTACGACAGGTCTACCGATGAATAAGCATGGGTACTGCACATGTACCCACCCAAATGAATGTGAGATTCAGAGTTCATTCATTCTGCATGTACATGTAATTTGCATGTATAATGAATTGATATGAAGGCCCTACTCCAAATTCAACAGGGCACCAACAAGCAGCTTCAACAATTTCCAATTTCTATGTACAGTGTACATGTAAATTAATTGTACAGGGTCAGCATTAGATTGGAATTATTTTTTAGAGTCTAGTTCTTTTAAACTCCAATTTTTTTTGTTTTATGGGAATGAGAGCAGCTGCCTACCGGTAAATGTATATATACATGCCATCTGCTACGAGCACAAATGAGATAGTGTTTTTGCACAGTAACAACAGTTCTTTAGTGGGGACTCGCCACTTGCTGATGCACATTCAGGCGCATTTGGCATGGGACATGACCACGGACCAATTTCTTGTTGAATGTCACCAGGCTCCATGCATGAGCCCAGTTGAAAACTTCCCACCAACCTGTCTCATCTTTGCGGGTTAGCGTACACTTCAACTCAGTGTGGATAATGCCTTCCTATCGTACGCAAGAGATTAATAGTTTTCTTAACCTTATCATTCCCAGCATCCACTTCTTATAAAGCTTTGCCGTTCAGATTTTTGCGCAAGGTGTAGCCATACCGGTACATGCCATGCAAGTTCCATTTTACTGTCAAGATTCCCGTTGTTACCGTTTGATTCCCATTCAATTAACAAGCAAATTGCAAAGTTGTGAGCATTTTGCATCTGAATGACGATCGACTGCAATGCATAAAAGTTGATTTTTTGTTAATCGCAAGTCATTTGACATGGCTCAGTGATACCATACTACACATGTGTTCACATCAACATCTCTGCAATATATCAGACAGCGGCGCAACCGCATTCAACAAGACACAGACTTGTTTCTGTCTGGGACTGCAAAAGCGTGAATGTGATCTACGCGTATCAACTCTGATTAGAAATTCATCTGTTGTTTATCTGAGATCATTGGCATTATGTCTTTGTGAAAAACCTGTGCAGCACATCAGACATGTGATTCAAAGTAATTTCTGCCATGAACTACCGGTATGCATAATGTGCATTACCCGTCAACCTGTTGCAATCCCTTGTTGATTGGAAATGCCTTCAAACAGGCATCCACTAGTAGTGTGCAAACATGAACAATTCAAAGTGTTCCAGGTATTGCTTGCTGCTTAAGGAGCATTTAAAAAGAAGTCATGTACATGTAGCACTGGTCACTTTTTGTCCCCAGCTACAATGTACATGTATGTACCTTATGTAGAAGTGCTCTTGATGGTTGTTCAAAGGTTGGAATGAGGTGCAGAAATAGAGTACCGAAGTGTGACGTCACTGTGAACCAGAAAGTACAGTGGAAACGAATGGAGTACGCGCGCATGTTGGTTCACGCGCTGGTTCTCGCGCTAATGCCTTTTACACACTACCGGTAATTGTGCGCGTGACATACTCACTTCCCTACTCTATTGCAATTGCATGATTTAATTTAAAAGGGAATATGGTGCATTATTGGCATCTTTCCACAGGAACTTAAAAGTGAAGCTGTTGTCTGTGTGGTCGGACTCTGCTGAAGTGTCACATGTAAGTGATTGTCCTTGACAACTCTTATCAATGGGCTTTTTCACCTTTTCACAGTGATAAATGATATTTCAAGAGGTGTCCATATGTCCAGGTGATGTCTCTGAAATGCACAAAGAGCTTATCTATTCACAGATTTTCTTCACAGGGTAAAGTGACTTCAGATTCAAGTTAAAACACTTGCAGAACACTTTGTGAACAGACATACATGTACACATGTACATGTAGGCCTATGTTTAAAAAGAGACTTGACCACCAGTAACCCCGTTAGGCATGTGATTTGATTTTGTTGTTGCTGATAATAAAGTCTGTAACTATAGTGAACCACGAAGGTTACTGGCCTGCATCTGTCATCCACAGCCTGATTTCATATTCCGTGGCAGGACTAGAGGTTCAGACTTGCCATTGCTACCATATCAGTGAACTCCGTTTTTATTGGTGTGGATTTGAAGGTCTGTCTCCGGTTAACACCTACAAACACCTTCAGCATATTAAACACAGGATATTAGCACATCGCTCTCCTGCTTTAGAACATTTCCATGCTGTTAGTTCCCAAATCCAGGGATTTAAAGGTACTTAGCTTTGCTGTGGTGGATGCGTTGTTTGGCAGGGGGAAATGAATATAAGACTAATGGAACTGGGGCATGCAACCCTGGAATAAATCTGCTAGATTTCATGTTCCACTGGCTCTTCAATCTCAGGGCAGGATCCTTATAAAATTGTTTGTCAATACCTGTGGAGACCCTTTCAAGAGCCTTGGAAAGGCTTTGGGGGATTAGGGTTAGTCACAATACCAGGATTTGGCAAGCCTCCCTGGGATTAGTGTGTTGTTTATGTTGGGGTCAGTAGCTTGAAGTAGGCAGTTAACCTGTGGACAGTTACACCAGCAAGAGTTTAGGCCCAGTGGAGGGTAACTTGTCTTGGGTAGCCCAGCAGGAGTTAGGACCCCCTGGGGGCCTGCCTCTGTATTTTGTGATGTATGTTCCCCACCCCCTACAAATTAATCTTCTTTCTGCAGTCAAAGGGATGGTCCAGAGGCTTGTGGAAGCTTGACTTCAGAACACCCACTTGAAGATGACTATGCGAAGGCAGATTTGGAGGAGGTTGTGCAGGTGGCACTGAGACTAGTAACTTAACATTTTCCATCTGACTATTTGTCATTGTTCACATATCTCTGAAAAATTTCAAATTTTTGTTGAAAAGTACATGTACATTGTAGCCTGTAGGGCATTTTTGCAAATGTTGACCATTACTTTACATGTATGCCTTTATGCTCTATGTAATTTACATTTTGGCCTCTCATTCTGAAGAATCCTGATTCCTCCACCATAGAGCAAGGACCCGCTACTTTCTATAGCAGTGTTCGCACTGGACTCAAACTTACCGAGACGATGGTTACTTATCCCAATTTAGGTCCAGTGCAGACATCCCAGGAACTTTTCCTCTTGGTTACTTTTCTGAGCCACGCAGTCATTTCTACCGGCCAACCTCTGCCCAATCATGGCAGAAATTGTTATTGACATTGTTGGAAGATCAACTGGTTTTAAAGAGTGCACCAAATATTTA